CGATTGGTGGATGACTATCAACAAATCATGCACTTTATGGAAGGGAAGCTTGGAGAGAGCTGTGGTTGGCATGGCTAGTGGAAGTTTTTTTCTTAATATTTTATTTGTCATGTATATAATATTATTTTGCAACTAATTATTTTTATGTATTTTTTGCATAAGGTGACAAAGCAATGGAAATTTACAAGACAAGAGTAACACCAAAAATTCAAGTTTTTAAGTTGCAACATGCTTAGGAAGTCCTCAAGGATTGTCCGAGGTGGGAAACTGATGCGGACCAACAATGGAGAATATTATTTCAACGTGAAGCCGCACCGACAAATGCCGGAGATGAAGGTGTCAATGAAGATGTCGATGAAATGACCCCAACTCCTTCTTTTGCAAGGTCCCCGGGAAGAGATAAGCAAAAGGAAGCAAAGAGAAAAGGGAAGTCCCAAGATCCTTCGAGTGGACACATTGCTACCGGAATTGCAAAATTGAGTAAAACCCATAACGCTCGCCACGAAGAAGTGGCCCAAATGCATTTGCAAATGAAGGAAGAAGGGGATAGGGAGCAAGAGAGGTTAGAAATAAATTTGACGATGGATGACCTCAACAAATACACTCCATAGAGGAAGAAGTACTTACGTGGTAAACAAAGGGAAATTTTACAAAGGGATGCCAGAAGGAGTATATTTCAAGATGATAATTCATCTAAATGCTATATCCCAAGTCCACCATCACAAAATCAAGATGGTGAATATCATTATTAAGTTTATGTAGTTTAAGAATTTTCAATTGTATTAAGTTTATGAACTTTATTAATTGTCGTGTGTATTAATATTATTTCTATTAATCTAGATGTCTTCAATAATTATTGTACTTATTATTCCACATTTTGATGTAAAGTAGATTTAGTAATTTTTCAATATTTATCGAAATTTAAATATTTTTATATTAAAATATTCATAAAATTAATTTACGATAGTCTACATAATATTTTTTTTAAAGTTAATTTAAGAAAAAAATGAGCCTAAGTTCATTCTTTAATAATGCCGGGCTAAAATGATTAGAGCAGAAAAACTATTTTTAGACTAAAAGTTAAATTTTTCGGACTAAAAAATTTAATTTTTAGTTCAAGGGTTAAAGATGGTCTCAGATGGTTTAAACAACTCGCTAGCAATATTCTGCTTTGAATTTTGTACGTACTGCAATTGTTTGGTCAGCCGTACATTTTCCTATTAAACAAAAAAAAAATCGTTTAATCATTTTCTGTTTAATATTCATACAATTTAGCTGTACATTTACTTTGTAGCATGCACATATATATGGTAGTATGATAATAGGATTATGGGTCACTTGGTACTACGGTATAGTAATATTTCTCTTTATTTGTAAGTGAGAGATTTTAAGTTCGATTATCATCAAAGACGAATTCGAACCACATTATTGTTAGCTCATTGTGATGCTTAGCTCATTTCCCCATCCTTTAGTATAAATATTTTTTAAGGAAAGCTAAAGAAAAGAGTTTGAAAACTTTGAGTTTTAACAATAAGGACAAAATAAAGGGTAAAGTGAATAGTATTAGGATTGACTTTTTAGTAAAAATATGATTTTTCGTGAAAGTGAATAGTACCGTGAGTTTTTTGTTAAAGTTCCATAATTTTTTTGGTTCGGTGTTTATTCCATAAAAGGAGATTGAGAAGAAATGAATAGTATTTTCTATGGCATTGGTCTGTTTATGTGATGTACCCTATCTGCACTGCATGTTTCTGGGATATAAGTTAACGATGTAGTCAGATGATATTAATTTACGATCAAGTCTGTGACTGTCCGCCCAGAAGTATGCATGCCTGCCCGCAAGTCTCTGATTTCTTCAAATACTAGTACCACTGTTCAGGCAGCCTCTCAATGTAAGTCCTAGTAGCCGGTAGCACAACCCTAATGAAGTGTTTTGACAACAAAAAAAACACTAGTAAAGTGTGAGAACTTATTCCATAAATCAAAGATTCTAAACACAAATATATTGGCTGCGTTTCGTCGTGTCAATAATACATACTCTTCAACTTACACGTGATTATATGGACAATTCTTCTGCTAAAGTACTGAACAAAAAGCAAGTAACTTTTGCCAAACATATAGCTTGGAATAGTAAGCTGACTGCAGCTGCGTCCATGTTTTGCCATCGCCTGTAGAGGTTTGGCTCAGTAATCTGCGTACCTAGGGGGGAAGAGAGAGAGAGAGAGGGTTGCTCGTGAAGTTGGTGACAGGTAATTCGAATCCGAGGATAGAAAAGTTGGGTGATATGGCAATACATGTGGCTCTAAAGCCTTAAACCCTCAATGATCCCTACCAGTTAGGGTTGCAGAGTTATGGTGTAATCAAAAGAGCAGTCAAACTGTTTTTTATGATACATTTGAGCAAAATCAAGCTCTATAAAGTAGTCAATTGAGCAGGCAGAGTAAACAAACTTTCCCTACCCTCCAAAGTTGGCAACATTGCCTACAATAATGGAGTTTCGCGTATCTTTTATCGTATGATATCTTTATGTGAAGGAGGATGACAAAATTAAAAGGTAAAAATTAAAAATTAATGTTATACATGAAAGAAAATAATAAAGTATAATTTTATCTACTTTGTTTGCCTAATGTAATAGAGAGTACAACTTTTTTTCACGAGAAAATTAAGTAGGCAATATGTCACATCTATTTATATAATATAATTTTATTCTATATTAAACAGTTTATGATTTAGTTGATTTTTTTATTTATAAAATCAATCTATAAAAAGAGAAGTTAAAAAATGAACGATTTTGAATTATACCATATTACAGAGTAAAAAAAATATGTAAAATCCGCATAAAAATTTTAGTAGCATCCCTCCCATCCATGTCCATTCGCTATAGGCGCACGGCGCAGCCACCGGATCAAGGTATTCAATATCGGTAATATCGGAAATATCGGTAGTCTGAAAACACGGAAATATCGATGAAAATATCGGGATAATATCGATATCGATAAAAATTACATGGAAACCACGGAAATTGTAAGAAAAACTTGGAAATTTTTATTGAAACTTTGCAGGATGTTTATTTAGTCAATTATCTATTAGTTTATCACAAAAAATTGGAAGGAAATGCATTGCATGATGGATTTAACATTATCAAGTTGATTATATAGCGAGCTGACAAATATTGTGAGTGTAGAAAATATGTAATAATTAATGAAAGAAGTTTAAACACACCAATTGTGGCTTATTGCGGCAAGTTTTTTAGATATGACCTCGCATCAAGTCGTCTTTTGTGTTAATTTGTAATCTTAACTGGTTTTGTTGTGTTGTATCAATTAGTTAAATTAAGCGGTACATCCAATTGGGGCTTATAAACATTTTAATTCTCCTTAAAAATCTAAGGGCATTTAATCAGGATTTTAAGTGATTCTTTAAAGTTTAAGGGGTATTCGATCATGATTTTTAAGAAATTCATACATTCCAAATGTATTCATTTAGAAATTGATTCGAAGATATTTTTAAAAAGTTGGGAAACTCGAAAAAATTAGAAATATTTCACATAATATTTTAAACATTCTCAAATCGCTCCCTGAAAATTTGAGGGAATTCACTTAAAATTTTACATAAAAGTTTTAAAAATTATTAAACTTCATCAAAATTCATAAATTTTTAAATCTATTATAATCCTTTAAAATCTGAATGGAGTAAAAAAATTCAAATCTAAACCTAATATGAAACAATCACTAAATTACATAGAATTTCTAAACCAAATCTAACAAGGATCAATTACAATTCTAATACGATGTTGTAATTACTTGGAGTTTTTTGGGGCAATATAAGTAGATGATTTGGGGGCCTGAAACTTGCTTAAATCCCTAAATTACCAATTGAAACGAGAAAGAAGAGAAGACAGAGAGAACGAGTCAACGATCCCTCTTCCTCCTCATCGCCCTCCTCTCCCTCTTCGCAATCTCCGACCCTGCAAAACCCTCTTCGTTTCCTCCTACTCCTTCTCCCTCCGCCGCCTCCCCTCCTCCGGCTTTGTCACCATCGTCACCGAGATCAACCAGATCCTACTCGAGACCCCCTTTCTTTCTTCTTCTCTTTCTTTCCTTCTCTGCACACTCTCTTCTCTCTCGAAACCCTCTCATCACTCTCACTCTTTCTCCCGTGATTACCCTAGTACACGGCACCCACACCATCGTTCCGTAGACGGCATCACCATCAAAACCTCGTCTTTCTCTCTCTTCCTCTTGTCTCTGCAAGATCGACGAAACCCAGAAACCTCCGGCGAGTTTTCTTCATTTTCTCCAGTGAGGTAAGCTTGAGTGCGTGTTATGGAACGAGATCAGGTCGGGGGAAAGCTCACCCAACTCCGGCGAACCCGTGACTGTTGAGGAGCTTTCCGAACACCTTCGGCCATTTCACGACGAACCAAGTGTATAAACTTACTCCTCTCTCTTTCCTCTTCACGTTGGTAATTAGATCGGAGTCTAAGGTTTGCGTTTGTAATTGGCCGGAGCAGTAGAAGCTCCGGCGTTCTTCTCTGAGTAGCACAGTTCCAAAATATCGCGATATTTTGACTAGTTGGATACCTATTAAAATATCAGTACCGTGAAAAACCGATAATACCGGCGAAATATCGCCGATATTATTGGCATTTTGTTCCTTGCACCGGACCATCAGACATTTCTCCTCCACTACCCTGTTTCAGTGTCATGTCTTGTAGTTGTTGTGGCCATCTTGTTAATTGTCAGGCTGCTGCCACCCTTTATTTCGGATGAGGATCCTCTTTGTGTTCAGTTTTTGAATAAAAATATTTTTTATTTTTTATTACAATCAATGTTACTAATCTAAGGTAAACTAAAAAGAAAGCGGAGCTTATAAAAGCAGATGATTCAAGAGAAATATCAAAACTACAAGGGTAATCCACTACTTGCCTTAAAATTGAATTGACATAACCTTATATGATAACTGATTTCAACTCTTTATTTCATTTCATTTTTCAGCATCAACAAACATTTATTTTCATCTAAATAAAAGGTAAATACAGTACAACACAAACGCACACACTATAACATATCTTATAAGATTTTATACCTCTCTTTTTATTTTTTTTATTTTTTATTTTTTTTTATTTATGACAAAGCCTACTAAACTGGCAATGAAATTTAAAATTACCAATTAAACTATATATATTATATAGATATGCGTGTGTACGTATATATATACTGGCATCATCAAAATTCATCCTTGAATGAGCTTCTTCTGGTGTTGTTTGGTGATGATTTCATAGGGTAAGAGGGCTCCAAAGCAATTCCACACATCCCTCCTTCTTTATCAACTCCTCGTTGAATCCTCAAGTAACCTTTCTCTCCCCATTCAACTCCCCATGAATTCTTCACAATCCAGTACTTGGTTCCATCTTGAGTCTCTCCATATCCCACTACTGCCACTCCATGATTCAGTTCTGTTCCACAGTCTCCATTCATCACACCCTGCAAATTTAAAACATTAACGACTCATTTGACACTACATAAATACATGTTCGACGATGCTTTGTTACACTCCTACTTTGTCATTCTGCACTTATTCGAGGAGCATTGTACCAGAATGGGTAAAGTTGGAAACTAAAACATGTCCATGCTTTTGAAAAGAATTTATATGCTTCAGATATAATAGTTTAATTCCTGTGATTGACTTGTTAGGGAGAGATTATTGGGTACAATCGTATGTGTCATGTTATCTATTTGTCCAAAAAAGCAAAATGATGACTTCTCACATTGCATTCGGACTCCACATGTGCACACTTTGGTGGACTTCAATGATAAGGTCTCATTTTTATGTGTCTTCAGTAAATAAGTGACGTGACACGCACGACCGTATCTAATAATTTCTTTTTATTCAGATTGTTTACTGTACTAGATGCTATATATTACTAGGAGTGTGGATAGGAACTTATGAAATATCAACTTTATTGGTGCCTAGTTGGTTTATTAGAAGCTAGTTTACCTCCGCGTAGAATTGGAAGTCTTTACCACCAGCATCAAGTGCAACTGACACAGGTTGGTTTGCAACAGCTTTCATCAAGGCATTCTCATCGTTTTCAGGTACGTTTTCATAACCATCGATTTGCACCAGAGGAGAATTCATCATCTGCAAATTTAACACGAAGTTAAGTAAGAAGAGTATAGTGTAGTACTCATACGAATAACATAAATATTGAAATGGGTAATTAATTTTTCACCTTGGATGAGTCACAAGGATTATCACTGGCTCTGTAAGGGTAGTTTTGCTCCGTTGTTATTCCACAATTTTTCTTGATGAACTCAAATGCTTTTTCCATCAATCCACCTTCGCACCCTTCGTTTGGATCTCTGTTGCAATCAACCAGCTCTTGCTCAGACAGAGAAACTAGCTGCTTTGTTTTGATCTGATTGATGCCCTCCACTGCAACTACAGTTGAAAATGCCCAGCAGCTACCTATAACATCAAATTACCATGCGGTGAATTTTATTCAGCTCTTGATTTTAACCGCATAATATATTGATAATCATCCATGCTCAACTGCCAATTTCCCGCTGAAAGTTTGTAAATATGTGCGAGTAATGCTAAGAAGACTAGTCAAACTCGGATTTGAGAGGATTTTAAAAGACTTTAAAATCTTAGTGTAGTCAATTAAAAGATTTTAAAGGATTTTAGAATCCAATCAAATCTAGGTGTAGTCAATTAAAAGATTTTAAAGGATTTTAAAATCCATCCAAACCTAAGTGTGTTAAAAAAATTAAGATTTTGGAGGATTTCAATAAGTTGTGGATTTTGTGAGATTTGAGAGCAAAAAATATATATAACCAAGACTAAAAAAAATCAAACCTCACCCCCTAGGATTTCAAATCCTTCCACCACAATCCATCACAATCCATTCAAATTCTTTAAAATCCATATGAATTTTGTAGGAGTCTTTAATCCTCTTAAATCCTATCAAATCTATTACTTTTAAAATCATTTAAAATCCTTTAAAATCTTAGTTTGACTACACCCCCTAAATTTAGAGATTAAAATTGCAAACTAAATGATGTGTCACCAGTAGAAATATGCACGTTTATCAATTATTAAGTAATAAACCAATCATCAACTTACATATCTTTTAGTTTGCAAAATATAGTTTTCTTAACATTACTCATATGTGCACTTCAAAAACCTTTTTAGGGTCAATTTTAAATATAAAAGTAGAAGTACTATTTATTATTGGAATGCTGTTCAGATAACTAAAAGTGTTTCTAATAATGGTTGGTAGAAAATATTAAAAAGCGGCTATGTGTAACAAAAACACTTAGAAGTTACTTTCTAAGAACATGGATATTTATAAAAAACAATCGACTCACCTGTAAAAAAGCACTTATGAACAAAAGTATTCTAATTGAGGGATTTCCCAACGTCCCCTTATTTTGCTCAATTATAAGAGACTTACCACATTTGCCTTGGTCTTTAACTCCAGTGACAGCTCCACTCTTCCTCCAATCAACACTTGCCGGAAGATCGTCGGTCATCCCATGTGTGAAGCCAGTAGCCCTTCTGCTGCCATGCAGTGATCTATAGTGGCTAACCTTCGAGCCAGCATAGGAGCTCGCAAACTCATGGTTCGTCATGTCTGCAAACTTGTTCAGCTTGAGCTTGTAGGGTTTGCTCATCTGGTTCACCTTGTGCACATGCTTCACGTTCCCCTTGAAAACATTGAAGCGCTTTCGCTTCTCGCCAAGGTCGTGGGAGATTGTGTGGTGGCTCCTCCACCTCTCATACAAATCCCACATACTCTCTTCAGAAGCCAAGTCCTTCTCCTGAAATTCAAAGCTCTCAACCAGGACAAGGACCAGAGCTAGAGCTAGGGCAACCAAAATAAACTTCCCCAAGTTCATCACTCTATAATAATATTGTAATCAAGAAAATATGAAATTTAGGGTTTTGAGAATTATGGGAGACGGAGGTGTTTGATCTGCACTAGCAATGGCAGCATATCGATCTTATATACATTTTTCGAGTGGGATAAGCACTATGAGTACGTACCAACTTTATTAGCTGTAGAGAGAAAATATGGAGAAAAGGTGGTCGTCTTTTTCAGAAGTTCATCTAAATACTGTTACGTGATGCTATTATATTTTCTCACACTTTAATTAATGTGTTTTTTTTAATATATTTAAGAAGTGAGACATATCAATCATGTCGTCTACACATAATATATCGTGTAAAATGATACATCTTATAAAAAGCTTTTCTATTTTTGGAGGCGGAATATGTATTTTATTGGTTTAAATCTTGTGCCTACATGCCAAACACGCGACCTAGTTTAACTTGTTTGTAGATGGTGACAAATCGGTTATGCATTGTTGCTGAGCTTTAGGGCACGATTTCTTGCAAGCCTATCTACGGGTGCAGTACGGCGCTTAGGACTTGCCTGTCTTGGCATGAAACCGAAAACTTTTCCAAAAGGTTGATAATTTGAAGTGAAACTTGCGTGATTCTCTATCTTTGCATTTTGTCCATTGTTATCTTTTTCATGATCAGAAGATTACTTTTGGATACAACAAACATATGATAATGTTATCAGACTTGTAGAATACTTTTTTGCTAAACTGATATCATCATTCTATCAAAAGTGATCTAGTAGTTGGAGACGAAATTCAAATCCGTATTCTACACGGCTCATCATGATGGTGGCCTGGGGAGGCTAAAATGCCTTTGTGAGTCTTCATTCTCGGCCCCTAGAAGGATGGACTACGGTGGCGAAGTCACTAGTTGGTCTTTTTATTTTAAAAAAAAAAGTCATTCTATCAAAACATTAAATGGAGGAATGTAAAATGCACTACATGATCATTCCAAAAATTTAAATAAGAGATTTATGTATAAATTACTCACATCAAATAGGCATTCTTCAACCCCTTAGTTTGTTATATCTACTCTTCAAATCCCTCCACTTATCTTTTGTAGGACATTTCTGACTAATTTGGCCTAAATTCCTCGTCCAAACATAGTATTAGGTTTCTATTTGTAAACTTCAACCTCTCCATTATGATTGTAACTTTGTTCTTCCTACATTAAAAATTAATTTTTTGTACTAAATCTAAATGCAAGGGTGGATTGGATTGTGGATAATTTGACTAAGCACCTTTGATCATTGGATGAAATTTAATAGTAGCGTAACCTTTATACCTGTGAAGAATGAAGAATATCAAACTAAGGGTGTGGACTTGGCCTGCGCCTGTTCAATAACCATGTTAGTATGGTTGGTAAATATTTACCGTTTCCTTTATATTCTGTGAACAACAAAGTAAGAGACAGAAGAGAAAATGCAACTTGTTTGTGGCTACTGTTAAGTTTTTAACATGCAGCACTAGGCTACTCTACTCAATTACAGAACCATCACTGCATGTATAGAACTGACGAATGTGGTTTTGGCTCACCCGGTAAGGCCAGAAGAGATGATTTTCATGTAAATCCACTGTCATCGGATTAATTGAAAGACTTTGCGAACCAGTAAAGGGATCGGTGTACATAGATCAAAACAACATCAAGAACTACAACCTGAGGCAGCTGAGGTCACATATCGCGGTGGTGAGTAGTGACTTAGGAGCCAAGGCTTTTCCCAGGAACAATCCATGGCAACGTAGTTTACATTAGAGAGAATTATAGAGAATCTGAATTTATAAGGTACACATACATTATACATCTCTCTAGCTTCTCATTAAAACTGAGACACATAACATTTGTTACTTTCTGAGAAGGCACCTTTCTATGCAGTGCTACGAAAGATGGATATCAAACCTACTGTGGAGAAAGAGGAGTAAAGCTATCCGGGGGCCAAAAGCAGACGATAGTGCTTGCTCAAGCAATTCTGAAAAACCCAACAAGATGATGGTGTGTTGGAGAATAGTCCAACAAGTGCCCTCGACAGTGTGTCGGAGACTATTCCAACAAAGGCTCGACAAGATGATGGTCGGAAGAACATGTGTGGTGGCAAAGAGCCTGAAGGGATAAAAGAAGAGTTTCAAGGGTCACATAGAACTAAAATATGTTGTATTCGCTTACCCAGTGAGGGCGGACCAGATGAGCTCAAGGGGCTGAATCCGAAAATAGAAACTGGAAATATAATAGCACTAGTGGGAAAGAGTGGTTCCGGATAATCCACTGTCATTGGCTTGATCAAAAGAATTTATGACCCGCTAAATGGATCAATATCGATAGATGGATGCAACATCAAGCTCTATAATTTGAGGAAACTGAGGTCACAAATTGTTTTGGTAAGCCAGGAGCCTATTCTGTACGGAGGAACCATCCACGAAAACATTGTGTATAGTAAAGAAATGCAACAGTAACTTAAGTAAGGAAGGCTGCAAAACTTGCCAATGCTCATGAATTTATAAGCTATGGCTACAATTTATTTACTCCATTTACAACACATACACTTTCATAAACAGTTGTTGACGTAGCAAGAAACAGGATAGATAGGATTGACAAAAGCCTAAATCTAAAAACATAAATTCTAATTCATCAGTATTCCGGAATCCATCAGGGAAAAAAAAAATAAAAAACCAGAGAGTTTAAATACTAAGTTTTACTAGTACAAAGATAAAGTGACAAATACAACTACATAAGTTGCCTTAAATAATAAACATCAGAGGGATACGAGACTTACTGTGGAGAAAAAGGAGTGCAGCTATCCAGAGGCGAGAAGCAGAGAATAGCACTTGCTCGAGCAATCCTAAAGAACCCAACAATTCATCTGTTGGATGAAGCAACCAGCGCTCTTGACAGCATGTCGGTAAACTTAGTCCAAGAAGCATGGGAGAAGATGATGGTCGGTAGAACATGAGTAGTTGTAGCTCACAGGCTGACCACAATTAAGAAAGCAGACTCCATCGCTGTGATAGTTAATGGGAAGGTTGCAGAAAAAGGATCACACTCTGAGCTGCTTGCCATTGGAGGTGCCAACCCTTCTCTGATAAAAACTACAAAGCAATCAGTCCCCACACAGACAAAACATATGGAAAAAAAAAAAAGACAAACAGATATTAATCTACATGAACTACTGGAACATGCAGACAATGTTCAAGTTCAATGTATTGATGAAACAAATTAAGGTTAATTATGTCAATAATCAAAGATTGTACCAACTTGCTCTTAGAACAACTGAGACCATCTCTGCGTGGTCATTAAATCTATTCATTTCAACAGATAACAACGTAAGAGTAGTTCAAGCTTCTCAATATATCCGAATTCGACATTTTAAGATGCATTCCAATTCTTCTCAAAATTTATTCAGGATTTCGAATGTCGAGTTTGATCTTGATGTATCATAGTCAGAACGTCTGCAAAAACTTCTTTTGGAAACAAGTGATGTTCTACACTAATTTATACTATAAGGGAAGGATAATTTGATTCTGGAACACAGAGTATTGAAGAGAAAGATCCTAACTATTAGAGAAATTGCATCAATTTTTTTATAGTTAAAAAGGAGGAGATAAGTTTATCTGAACTCGATTTCTGTGTTGATAGTTACCAGTTGACATCTGATTTCTTGGTAATGCTGGTCACATCATAAGCTGCAATGCCACCTTTTAACCCCATACGGTAAGCTTACACTCCATGAGTTGTCATAGGCTAAAAGCCAGATAATTTTCTTAATTAAGTTGTAAAAAATTATATTAACTAGATTGATTAATTAAGCTTTAATTCTGCAACAAAAACTACCACTTGAGGGTGACAATTCAAGTTTGATTCCAAATCCTTTATTTAAAGTTATCGCTCTACATATGTGTATCTAAAAATGAACTAAACGTCATGTTAGTAGACATTAAGGTTTGTAATCTTGCGGATTATATTATTAGTGTTTAAGACAATAAAGGGATTCCACTTTGCTAGAACAGATATCAGTTCACAGCTTTACAGTCTTCCATGGCCAAATCACTAGATAAAAATATATGTTACCAATTATACCAACTACCATAATTTTGTGTGTTGATGCACAAAACCGGAGGTCTTGGAATAACGTAAATCCGACCGTGAATCTGCATGAAATGTAAATAACACAAGATGTATCGTGGTTCACCCCAAGGTTTGGGCTACGTCCACACTGATTATGTATTTATCTGAGAGGTGAGGGAGAGAACCTCTGAATATGAGAGGGGTGAGAAGGCTCCAGAAAATGGCCTCCCATGGTGAGAATGAGCCTCCCCCAATTGTGAGGGTGATGGGTCCTTTTATAGAATAAGGACTCCTCACTTATTACATATTTGCCCCTTCCTTTATTACATAATTACATTTAAGTCCCCCGAGTATTTATACAAGGTCTAAATACGAGCCCTAAATATGGTATAAACAGTAGTCCCCCAAGTCTTCAGTCAAGAGAGTCTTTTGGCTAGAGACTTGAAATTCAGTCCATGTGTGGGCCGAAGTAACTAGATATTGTCTTGAATTGATGCTCGGTATGAGGCGGTGCTCAATCTGAAATGATGCTCAACTAGAAGTAGCACATGCTGCGAGGTCGCTCGGCTCGTGGCTAATGTTGCCTTGGTGGCTCGACTTGTGGCGCTTGAAGGTGAAGGGGTCCCTTTTATAGAATAAAGGCTCACTCCTCAATACATAAATTATGGGCTAGAGTTGATGCTCGCGGCGAGGCGGTTGCTTAGTAAGCGGCGATGCTCTCTAATGGTGGTGAGGGAGTCCCTTTTATAGAATAAGGGCTCGCTCCTCAATACATAAGTGATGGGTTATGAGTGATGCTCACGGCGAGGCGGTTGCTCAGCTGGCGGCGTTGCGCTCTAATGAAGATGAGAGAGTCCCTTTTATAGAATAAGGGCTTATTCTTCAATACATAAATGATGCTCGCGACGAGGTGGTTGCTCAGCTGGCGACGTTGCTCTCTAATGAAGGTGAGGGAGTCCATTTTATAAAATAAGGGCTCACTCCTTAGTACATGAATAATAGGCTAGAGTTGAT